GTACAGTTGACAAGGTTGGGTTAGGATACCAATATTGTACCGATGAATTTGGGATATAGGCATCTAGCGAGAGAAGAATATATAAATAATCACGTAAGCGAATTTCATAACATTTTGTATAACGAAATACCTGAAATTCGTAAGGCTATATGTGTGATAGATGCTCCATATATCAAAATTGAGAAAAGTCGGAACTTTCAAGTACTCCGGCGATCATTTTCTGTCCACAAACAATATCACCTTCTGAAACCGACAATATTATGTGCCCCTGATGGATACATTTTGGCAATGCATGTCCATACTTTTCAGACAGTCGTAACAACGATGCAGCTTCTCTTTTACACGAATTTTATCAAAATGTGTCTGAAATAAGAGACTGGTTTGAAGAAGGTGACATTTTTGTATTAGACCGAGGTTATAGGGATGCCGAAGAATTTTTAAGATATATTGGTATTGAAATCGAAATGCCTGCACACCTAGGACGTAGACCCCAATTACCTGTTGAAGAAGCAAATAAGTCCAGATTGGTGACATCTAGATTTGTTATAGAAACGCGTAATGGTTACTTGAAAAATAAAACGCCTAAATATCCAAAATTTTTCGAGAATTAGAATAAACTTCCATCATCGCAACACTACCAAGAACCAGCTGGCCATAAATATGATCAAGATCCAAATATTCAGATATCTGGATATTATTGCACGTGTCATTCTGGAGCCAGAACGGTTGGTACCTGTTGTCACGTGGCTAGTGTACTATGGTTTTTCGGATATGCCAGACACCAACAACACATTAGTTATCTACAAGATAATATTTTGAATGCAATAAATGATGCTGCTGAGAGCAACATGCTGCCCCAAATAATTTAATTACAAAATTAAGAATAGGTTTGAGTAGGACAACACCCTGTATAATATTTTTTTAAACATGCTCTCAGGGCAGTTAACATTATGAAGGTTTATTGTTGTGTTTAACATTATTTTTTGATTTCGAGATTTTATTGAAATATACAATTACTTCAACACCCTGTATTGAAATATTTGAGTTTAGATACATTGCTTGCTAAAATACATACCTACAAAATGACCCCAAAATTGCATTAGAATTTTTCGAAATGTTCAAGAAAATCTACGTAGGGATATTTCCTCGGATATTTCTTATGCATAGCATAGCAAGACCTAGGTACTTTGACATGCTATATCTGCTATCACAGACATACGATCCTCTTTACATTTCAATTTTTTTTTGGCAATGATGATACCTTTAAAATATTGAAATTTGGTTGAAATTTACGGGGGCCTATTTTCAATGTTAATCGTGCCTCCTACTTTGCTTCAAAAAAGTTCTTTTATGCAATAGTAGTTGAGATACAGTGGTTGAAAGATACAAAAAAAAAAGTCTCAACTCGTCAAAAATTTCTTCCCGTCCGAACATAATTCAAACCAAACATGGGATAAACATATTTTATCCAACACCTGCTAGTTATAGGAGTCATTATTTGTGCCAATTTAGACAGGTAAACTATCGAATAACACACTATTGGGTTATGGTTTATAACTCACAACGTCAACGCAAAACGTCGGAAAATAATTTTTTTATAAATCATGCTTTAAAGAAGACTCATTCCCAAAAAATACGTTAGTTTTTTCAATTCTTACATGCTGCTCTTGTGTTATGATTTCTTAGTTTTTGGATAAAACATTGTATGCTACTCGTTTTCTAAGTCACTCAAGAAATTATACGTATACGTATAATTTTTTCTCGCGTGACTTATTTTCAACATAACACACTAGTACCATAAATAACTATTAGACTCTATTATCCTCGTCTCTCTCACGTGCATTCGGAGTCTATTGTGCCCTTGAACTATTTTTTTATTGTATCCTATTTCAATAAGTATACAGGGTGTCCCAAAAAATACCTACAAACTTCAAAGGATAGGAAGGGATATCAAAACAAGCATTTTTGTTTATATAAACATATTATTATAACTTTTTATGTAGGTATGGCAACTGCTTCTATGTAGGAAATACATTCACTAATAGACTGATAACCTGAAGAACTTACATATTATTTTACTAGAAGGTTTAATTTGTCCTTGTCTTCAGCAGCTTTTGAAAATTTTTTTACAAAAGCTTCATGATGTGAGCAGCAAAAACGTTGAAGAGTGAATTGGACATCTGGCAATGAAGTTAGAAATTCAATTTCAGACATTTTTGCAGAAAAGCACCTACGGAAAATGTAATTTTTGTACAAGAAGTAAACACTACGTGACTTCTTCGAGACTACGATCTAACCTCACAATCGCAGATCAATCTCTTTCGTCAGTCTAAATACTCCGAGGCAACCGGGAGAAACATATTTACGTTCGAATGGTCTGAGCGAAATTAACGAACAGTTAATTTGCCTTCCCTCCATCTAGATCTAATAAACGAACGATTCAGATTGAAAAGATTGATCAGATGTGAATATCGAACACAGCAAGAGACTGTGGTATTTGACCTCAGATGCTACCAGGCATGACATACAATCGAAGCGTAAGAACGGGCCATCACCTACCTCAATGCTTCGTTTTTTTCACTTTGGCAGACAATACACTTAACATCCACACAGTCACTCTGAGCCCTGGGTGACGCCGGTATGGGAGATCACCATGGTTCGGTAGTAGCACATCCGGCCTCTTGAGAAGGGGTTGGGCTTTTTTCTCTCTTTTTTCTCTTCTGGCAGATTGTGCCAAGGTTCTGGTTGGACGTTTCCGCCGAATCAACTAAGGAGCACATGCACTTTTGACACCATGTCCTGCAAAAAATAGCAGTATATCACAAACATTACTGATAATAATAAAAGTGACTCACTTTATTCATTAGCAGAATTTTTGTTACCTACCTAATTTTATTTTGGAAAGGTGGAAAATATCACTTGATAAAACGCATCACCTACTCACAAGCTACGTCTATGTAGTACACCTTCAATCACACTAAAAAGTCTATATCACACTCGACAAGTCTCTGAAGCCCCTCATAGGACCAAGAATTTTTAGCAAAAATTTGACTTTTTTCTCAAAAACGAAACAACACTTGCTTGTTCCGTTTAAACCAACCTTCTCCCCTCAGCATTGCAAAGTGTTTATCATCCAAAAAACCCCTTAGCAGACATTTAAATTAATATTTAACACGACCCAACAAGGAAAATATAAGACAACAGAGTTTTGGCCGCCATCTTGGATAGGGACCTTTACTGAAAAATTCAATTGATTATTGTTTCGCGAGACCCCAAGACTAGTCTTGATCTTGTCTTGGTCTTGGTAGCAAGACCAATACCGACACCAAGACCAAGAACTAATAAATCTTCTCAAGACCAAGTCCAAGACTTAACGTTCAAGACCAAGACTCTCTCTCGAGACTCTCGTCTTGGTCTTGGTCTTGGAAAGAAAAGTCGACTCAATTATTTACATTGCTCATTGCCCGTGAAATATACAAATACCTACCAAATATACAAACGCCAAAAAATAAGAGAATGTACTGAGTGCACTCACCAAGTAAGATTTACTTTTAAATAACCGCGCAAAATCGAAGGAGACAGATTGCATTTTTGTCTGTAGCCTCGAGTAATAATAAAAACTGTTCGTTCAAGTATTTAATATTTTCCTACCCCTACATAATACAATAGGTACCTAAGTATTGAAATTTCCAAAGATAATTAATATTTAGGTACACAAACCCCATATCTCACCCAAATCTAATTATTGTGAATAGGCCAATAAAATTCAAATGAGCTATGTGACTGTGAGGGTTCTCGAAAACCTTTGCCTGGCCTGAATGCTCAGGTAGGTAAGGTAGGTTTATTCTTATGGTTCAAATGGAAATTATTTTTTTTCCTCGGTACCAAATGGCAATTTTATAATGTGTTTGTCAACTTTCCTATTCCGTTATTGAAAATTCCAATTCAAGAATTGATGCTTGTTTGTTCCTCTGTGTTGTAGAATAGCTTTATGCAGTATTTTTTGACATGAAAAGCTCTTGCTGGTAAAAATTGCCTGTGGAGAAGAGCAAACGTATGATCGAAACGTCGGCATAATTTTTTTAGAAAGGAGGTTTTATTTTTTATTTCTGAAGTCCTGAACCCATTAAATCTGCTCTACCGTTATTTGTTATGAAAATTTTAAAAATTTGGAATAGTTTTTTTTTTTTCAAGATTATCAAGACCAAGACCAAGACTAAGCAAGTCTTGTCTTGATCTTGAAACATCAAGACCAAGACCAAGACCAAGACTGGCCAGTCTTGGTGTTGGTCTTGATCTTGCGAAGCCCTATTGTTTATTGAAAACTATACGAAATCGAAAAAAAAAATCTAAAGGTACGTATTTTTTTATTTTGTCCAAATATGATTATTCCGAAAGTTATACAATTAAGTTTTGTATATAGATATACTGAGCATGTGTGACGTCATAGAGTATGAAAAATTAGCTTTTTTCAAAGCGTTGTATCTCCGTCAATTTTTGTCCAACAAGAAAAAGAAAAAACACGTGTTGACTTATTTTTTTCATCGACTAATGAAATCAGCAATAAAAAAAAAATTAGTCAAGTTCCCCATTGCAACATAAAATGCTTCTTGCACTTCATAGAGATGGATTTCCTACTTGGGTCTGGTCAAAACTGATTTAATTGAATATCTAATTTAGCAAGAGCATTAATTTGAAGTAGGTACCTAGTCGTTGAGTTATAGCTGTTTTCACAATGCTTCGTATTTAAATCAACGATCAACGCCTTGATTTAGGTGCCTTATTCGCATTATCTTTATGAAAAAAAAAAAAACACTGACTAGAGTTTTTTGGTTCATGATTGTTCTACTTATTTTTTCTCTATCTCTCAATTCTTTGCTATCATTATGAACGAAGAAAAGTCTGGCCTGAAGATGGTGCGAAATTTATCGCCGGTTTTGACAAGTTTCAATAGTTTCATTTATTTTCAAACTTCATTTCCTAATTTTGTTTCAATTTAGTATGTGATGCCGCCGCTCAAGAAAATGGAGTTACCGCAATTTTCGGCCCAGAAAATAAAGATCTTGCCAGCGCTATTGATTCTGTAGCTTCTTATATTGGAGTACCTTATATCCACACTGATTGGATGCCAAGACATTCAAAACTGTCTGAGAGTACTCTAAATTTTTATCCCGAGGCTACTTTATTATCACGTGTAAGCACCCAAATTAATTTTTTTCGAGAATTTGCTTAGACTGAAGTCACAATGACAAATGCAAGTTACAAGTGACAAGAGACAACAATATAATAACACGTGTATGAATAATGTAACCCATAATAAATGGATATAGGATACAATTTACTTGCCACGCCACGATACAAAATTTCGAATTTTTGTTATTTTGTATCTTGTCACTTGTTCCCTATATTTGTCATTGTGTCTTCAGCCTTAGTAGATGGTATTTTCCAGGCTTATGGTGCCATAATAGAAAGTTTAGACTGGGCCACATTCGCCATAGTATATGAAAATGAAGAGTCTTTAATAAAAATGCAAGAAGTTATAAAATTACAAGAGCACGAAGCGAAAATAAATAAAAATAAAATAGTTTTAAAAAGATTAGATGAAAACGGCGACAACAGGTAAGTTTTTAGTTTCAAACCTCATTATATTTTCATCAAAGTTGTGCATTATATAGGCACGTTTTCAAGGATATAAGAAACACTTCAATATTCTGCATTGTTCTGGATTGTAGTTCGGAACGGATAATCGAGGTTCTAGGACAGGCTAAAGAAGTTAAAGTTTTAGATGACCTCAACACAAATATTTTTATTACTTCACTGGTAGGTACTACCTTATCTAATTGAGTAGGTGAAATAAAAATTGTATACAAATAATTTTAGGATGCCCATACGTTGGATTATACTAGCCTACAAACTAAAGCAAATATTACAACAGTTCGTTTATTTGATCCTACATCGTATCATGTACAAAAACAAGTTATTCGATATTACCCAGAAATTTCGCCTCAACAATTAACGGTAGGTTAGCGATAATATAATATTCGTGGATTACGCGGCTCCACTAAAGCTTCCATTACTTTACTAAAGGTACGGTTTGTTAGGAGAGTACCCGTCGCACAACTGACAACGTAAACGTCGTCACTGGTTCAGGTATGACCATAGGTATGACGTACACCCGTTTTCTCACGTCAGAAGACGGGTGTACGTCATACCTGAACCAATGACGACGTTTACGTTGTCAGTTGTGCGTCGCGTACTATCCTAACAAACCGTACCTTAACAGGATCATTTTTTTATTGAACTAATTGACTATAAAATTCATTATAGACTTATATTGGTTCCACTTAACTTTAAACAAATAATTCTTTTTTTTACTACTAACCTGAGAAATTGTCATTATTTAATCTATTTTTCTAGGAAAAAATTGAATTTCTCTCCCTAGGTGAATAATGAAAATAATGAAAAAATACCTAGGTTAATAATGAAAATGACGTCATGACGCAAGGATATTGTCATGTTTCTATTGGTTCAATTTCATTTCCATACGTCAATTTGAAAAAAAATACTGGTTTCTGTAGGTACATAGGAAGTTATCATAAGCTGTTGATAGAGGGCAGCACTTTCAAGAGGGCGTTCAAAAAAAATAATTGGAGCACAGATTTTAAACAAATTTTTCATTTTCTACTAGCAGTAGTAAAAAAAGTTCTATATATTCCTCGGTAGAGAAAGTCATTATATACCTCACTCATTATAAACCTCGGCGCGAGCGCCTTGGTTTATAAAAGCGCTCGGTATATAAGGACCAACTTCTCTACCTAGGTATATAATATACTATTATTTGGAATGACCCACTAACTCACAATCTAAACGCATTTGTATAAGAAACCATTTAACCGAGAAATCTCTAGAATCACGTGAATGTTTCTTTTTTTTTAATATAAATCATACAATGGAGCTTCTGAATATTCATTGGCGCCGGCTTCACGGTGCCAAGGATATATATGTAAGAAAAACGCTAGACTTTTGGCAATAAAAATAGTTTATATTCCCGCGTGTCAAAATGACAATATTATGGACTTCATTTAAGTGTCAAAATGACATACTTTATTGGATTGAGTACTATAATGATTTCATTATAGTACTAAGACAATACAAACAAACAATTCCGTTGTTACTATGGTTGTCAAGCAGTCAACCACATTACTTAAATTAGCCTTCTTCAATTATATCCGATAAACTCAAATCTAACAGAACAATGTATTGACTATAATCGCCGGAATATAAAATATTGTATGAAATTCGGATCATAAACAATCATTATGATCCTTATAACATAAATATCTATTATTTCAAATACACAAAAATATCCAGGCGACGATACGTTCAACAGGCTGAACAAAATGCAAGTCCGTGCAAGTCCCTGTCAAAAATCTCTAAAATTATCGACTACCTAGCCTAAAACCTAACTATTTTGGAGGGACCCTTTCAACGTTGCCGTAGTAACGATGGGTCGGGTCATAATCATTGAATACCTAAATAATAAAACCAAGAGATCAACTATGGCTTTGAACAAATCCTTTTGGCATCACTCAAACTCAAAACTCAAAATCTCTTTATTTATCAATTCAAAGCTATAATACATACGGGCATCACTTGTCACGTCTCTATTCTTGGAGTACCTAGATTCACGCACGGCCAACCTGACACATAATTCGCTTTCGAATTAACAGGAGAACAGCCAAAATCTGAAACAGAAAAAAAAAGGCAGCAGCTCCAGTTTTGTTTTGTCATTGAGCAAATATGGAGCTGTGAGCCGACTGCGAGGCCAACCGTGAACGACACAACCGAAGATAATGAAAATACGTAGAATTCACATCATATTATCGCAGTAATTAAATATATCAGTAGATAGTCAAAGCGGGTTTCACTACCAAAATCCGACCATAACCTCAATCTTTCATTCTTGACACGTGGTGGATGCGCCGCCGTTGACACGAAGGTGGATGCATCGTCGGCGCCATCTTGTCAAACGTCATGGCGCCATCTAGCGTACATAGTGTGAAGTTCGTAATACAGGATGCTGTAGTTGGGACCCGTAGGGCTCCGCCCCCCAAAAAGGTGGCCCGCAGGGCTCCGCCCCCCAAAAAGGGGGATTTTAATATGGGTACCAGAAAAAGGGGTGGGGGGAAATGTTTTCCCGCCATCTTGTCAACCGTCACCTGTCAAACGTCACCTGTCAAACGTCATCTGTCAAACGTCATCTGTCAAACGTCATGACGTCATAGCGGGAGTTTTGAGTCGTTCCGGGTTCTGTGATGACGTCATAGCGACCTGGGTCACGTCCGTGGAGTCATTTAGAGTACATAGTGCAAAGTTTGATTCATGGTTCGGGTTCTGTGATGACGTCATAGCGACCTGGGTCACGTCCGTGGAGTCATTTAGAGTACATAGTGCAAAGTTTGATTCAGGGTTCAGGTTCTGTGATGACGTCATAGCGACCTGGGTCACGTTCGTGGCGCCATTTAGAGTACATAGAGCGAAGTTCGTTTCATGGTTCTGTGATGACGTCATAGCGACCTGGGTCACGTGGGTTACGTCAGTGCGGGTCCGTGGCGCCATTTAGAGTACATAGTGCAAAGTTCGATTCATGGTTCGGGTTCTGTGATGACGTCATAGCGACCTGGGTCACGTCCGTGGCGCCATTTAGAGTACATGTGTCAAGTTTGATGTGTCTTATAACAGGATGCTGTGGTGGTGACGTAACTATGAGGGTCCAGCAGCTAGCTTCATGTTGTACCTGGTAGACGGTGTTCGAACTTAAGGATGATACACACCTACAGTATTACTCATTGACCTCGTGTGTTACCATTTACGACGCCATAACTAAGTCATCAACTGTTTAAACAACCTACGTCAAGGCGAGAAATAACATGCTGCTTACGTCACAACTGGTGATTTAACGTTGGGGAGAGAGTGGATTTGTTCCACACAGGCCTTATGAGGATAGGCTATCCTGTAGTAGTAGTGTGTATTATCCTTGGTTGGAACCAACGTTTGATGGGAAAGGGGCCTCGTTTTTTTATTAAAAACATACATTTTTTAAGACAACGATTTCAAAAAGCGAATATTTTCCATCAATAAACTGCTTAATATGATCCAATCATTTTGGTGGTACGTCTTGGGAGCAACACTGCGTTATCGTCAAATTCGACGAGTATTTCAAATCCATAGCTAAAAATATGTCACAATTGTATCGATTACCTAAGTATATAAGATATTTACTTACTAGGTTAAAATAATAATTTCTGTACAATAGTTTTATGATCTACCTTAATTTGTATAGTTTATTGGTTCCAGTAAAGATTTGCAATTATTTTGAGGTCTCTATCGTAGAAAATATTGGGAACTTTCACTTTATACCAGGTCTTATAATTTTCTCAGTTTTTTTGATCCTTTGTTATAAAAAGACAGGTCTTGTTGATTGATTTCAAATCCATATCTAAAATATTCATAATTGTATCGATATCAGTATATAAGATATTCACTTACTTGGTTAAAATGATAATTGTTGTGCAATAATTTTATTGTTGTTGACGAGTCTCAAACAAGACTGAAAGAGCTTAATTATTATAAAATCCGATTCAAACTTCGAATTAACAACATAACATACAAAAAACGCTGTCAAAATATTGGGAATTTCACTTTCTAGCAGGCTTCAGGTCTTGTAATTTTCTCAGTGTTTTCAATCCTTTGCTAGGAAAAGACAGGTCTTGTTGATTGATATTAGTATATAAGATATTTACTTACTTGGTTAAAATCAAATTAATTGTTGTGCAATAATTTTATATTTTTCACTGGTGACCAGTTTGAGCGAGACTGAAAGAAGCTTGTTATTATAAAATCCGATTTAAACTTCGAAGTATCACATACAAAAAACACCGCTAAATGCAAACGCTTAATCGGCAGTTTTTTTATCTGAATTATATCAGGACCATTCGCAGAAGCCGCCCGAGAAAAACAACAACACATTTTAAAGATAATTTTTTAGTTTAAGGTGTAATTATTAAGTTAGATAGGTATTAATATGTCCATTTTTATTTTAAAAGGTGACAAATTCAAACAATTTATCAAAATTTAAAAGAATAGATTTAAATTAGCATCGTTGACATTTTATGAGCCAATACCCTTATGCAATACAAAATTTCAGTGGATACATTGTTACCTGTAAAAGATGAGGATTCAATTTTTTTTCTTTGTACAAAAAACGCAGCATCCAGTACCAGTACTTTGAGCCTGGATTTTCAAAGTTTAGTTTCTTGTGCGATAAGTGTCGGTTTCGAAAAACTGTAAGTACTATTTTTAAATATCTAAGTGATGTAGGATAAATCATGTCCTGAGACATATTTTGAATTAACACAAACCTCGATTTTTGAATTATTTTTATTTTCCTTAACACATAATCATATTGTTTGTTTTTTAAAAATACAGACAACCCTGAGTACCTACCTATTTCTTAATTTAATTCCAATAGTTTTTTACGCAGCAACTTGAATTTACTTTTATACTTACATTTGCACAAAACTCAAATTTCTTTTTCTCAAATTTAGGTAGGTTCTTTAGCCAATTTGAACTGGTTTTATTTTTTCATTTACTTTAAAACAAACCTCCATAAACAGCGAATTTTTAATTTTGTGCACAAAATCGTTCACCAGGAAGGAGATAACCTGAAACGTCATGGGATTGCTAATCATCTTCCAAGATCTGTAACCAATGTGGTGGGATTTTTAAAGCAGAGGGGGCTATCCAACACCACCCAAACACCCAGCTCCAAGAGAGCCTCCAAACGAAAGGCTGGAGATCCCGCCGCCCCCATGCTGAAGCAAGCTAGACTTTTGCTGGTAAGTTGACATTAAGCGAATTTTTTAAATCTAATTCAATTATTTTCAGGACCTTCAATATCAGCGACATGCCGGTGGTGTGAGTATTGCGATTTGGAGGCACCGATAAATCAATGGGTT